GCGCGAGCAGGGGCGGCGAGCGTCGGCCTCGGGCCCGGGGCGGCCTGCGACCCGTCGTGAGCACCTGGGCGCCGCGAGAAGCCGCACTTCACACCGAGACATGGCACAGATCAGCCGGGAAACTCTGAAGGCGAAAATATCTGGTAATGTTTTTGCTGGTTCTAGACCTATTTAGGGGCCGCCTTCCGGCAGGGGCTTTTCTAAGTGTCCACTCCACCGAAAGAGGTTAGTAGCCGGCCGTGTTAGCGCTGCATAGCGGCGAAAATCGCGAGAGAAGGAGGCGGCCGAGGAGTGGGGAGAGTCATGCAGTGCGACGTTGCCGCTGTTCGCCGCCGCGAGATGTTTACTTCCGCTCGTGTGCCGTGTCTGGGCGTGCGGCGTTGCCACGTCGCGCGGCTGCGGGCGCGGGCGGCGAGGAGCGTCACTCGCACTCGCCGAGCTGACCGCACGCCACCGTGAGTACTTCCTTCCCACCGGCCCTCCGCTGATACTAAGCACTGTTGGCGCCGCCTTTCCCCCCTGACTGCTGCTGCCAGGGCAAGTGAGCATTTCTGCCGGGTCCCCTCGGCGCCCCTGTGTTTACTTGCAGTGAAATGTGGCGGCGAAGAGAACGGCCTTTATTTCTGTCAGTTGGACCTTGCAGCGTCGTACTGAGGGACGAGACCGGCATTTTGAGGCGACGGCCCTGGCCAGGCGGCGGGGGGTCGCCTTTTCGCCCCGTTTGGGACCATTTGCATCCTTCTAGGTGGAGAAACGACTCCTACGTTTGTAAAGGATACCCTAGAGAGGGATTCTAGTGCATCAAAAAGCAAAGTTCACGGGGCGCACTTTGTCACAAATGTCAAGAGAAGTGGCCAGACGTCCATGGCGGGTGAGCGTCGCTTCGCCCTGCTCGCAATAATAGGCTCGGGGGAAATTTTCGCTTTTTGGGCCTTTTCGTCGGCCTAAGTGTGTGGCGAAAGTGGCGTTAATGGGCCAAGTGGAGTTCTGGGAGCATTTTTCGTTAGGGGATCCGCCGCCAGTAGTTGGTGTGGAATGAAATATCGACTTAAAAGCGAAAGCTGGGTGGGTTGCGACCTTTTGCCGCCAAGTCGCCCGATGCCTCGCGAACCCGACGCTCAGGCCTCGGCCAGGTCCTCGGGCACCGTGGACGCGTCCTTTGGCTCCCAAGCCCCAAACTCTCCTCGAGGGAAGCTTAATTCGCAGGCAAGATAGTGGGGGATTTTTTTTTTTGCTTTATTCCGCAGGCGCCGCCACACACAAGCGTCCTTGTTGGGGCGAATTCGCACGGACGGAAATCGGGTGCAAGCATATCAGGTCCTGCTAACGGTCTTTTTTCTGCAGCCAGGATAGGATTGGCTGCTTGCACCCAGTTTGAATTGACCCCTGGGTGGGCGGCCAGTACTCAGGGGGGGAGGGGGAGAGAGGGGGGGATGGAAATCCACGGGAGAGAAACCGTATTTTTTTTTTCTTTTCTGTCTTGTGCGTGTGCGCGGAAACACACACGCGTCGCGTCTCCCATATATTAGTAAGAGTTTGTGAAGCTGTGTCCGGGGATAACCTCTGCTGGATTGGGGACGCTGTTGGGTAAAAAAAAAAAAAAGTCTGCGTTTGGCCTTTGTGTTGTGATGCTTTAAAACTATTTATTATTGTCCAACTTGGAACTACTACTACTACCAATACAGGGAAATAGTCTCGTACACGTATCGTAGGTAAACCTGTATTTAGTTCGGTACAGTGAATAGTGTTGTGTGCATAACTGCTTTTATGTATATTGGTAAGTGGCAGTGTACATAAATACTTGAATTTACAAAGTTTTTTTTTTTGTGTTTGTTTACATTGATTGTTGTGTTTACATGCATATATGCTTGTCATGCTTACTTTCCTTACATGGAAAGGGGACTTCTCATGTATACATAAATTTGCCAACATACATTTTCGTGATTACACACACTGGTATACACTCTGGTATACTTGATAATTAGCAAACAAACAAATATGCTAACAAGCAGATACCTACACCCATGTATGTGTACACACACGCATGCACACTCATGCATGGCACACACACATGCACACTCATGGACACATGCGCACACATGCACACACATGCGTACACCCACATGTGTGCACATACATGTATGCGCACATCTGTACATGCACACGTGTACACACACATGCACATGCACACACACACACACACATACACATGCGCACATGTGTACACATGCACACACACACACACACGTACACCACATGTGTGCACACTCGTACACGTGTGTGCACACACGTACATGCACACACACACACGTGCACATGCACATGCACACTCGTGCACACACACACACTGCACACTCGTGCACACACACACATGCACACTCGTGCACACACACACTCGTGCGTGCACACACACTCGTGCACCACACACTCGTGCACACACATACATGCACACTCGTGCACATGTATACATGCACACTCGTGCACACACACGTGTACATGCACACACTCACACTCTGCACACACACTCGTGCACACACACGTGTACATGCACACACTCGTGCACACACACTCGTGCACACACACACACACGTGTACATGCACACTCGTGCACACACACGTGTACAACACTCGTGCACACACACACGTGTACATGCACACTCGTGCACACATGTGTACACGCACACGTGTGCACACACACCTCTGAACATGGACAACCCCACAAACGTACATGTACAGGCAATTACACACATGCATTCATGTGCATACATGCAAAGCATACATTCATATGCAAACAGGCACACGCATGCTTTCATATGCATACACAAGTAAGCATTCATATCCATACACATGCAAGCATTCATATGCACACAAGCACACGCAAGCATATGTATGTAAATGTACAGGCCTGCATTCATACACAAGCACATGCAAGCATGCATATGTACATGCAGAGGCATGCATTCATGCGAACACAAGCACACGCAGTCATACACAAGCATTCATGTACACATGAGTACACTCAAGCATTTGTATGCATACAAGCACACGCATTTATACGCTCACAAGCACACGCAGGCATTTATACGCACACAAGCATGCAAGCATTTATATGCACAAGCACGCAAGCATTTGTATACACACAAGCACATGTGAGCATACACAATAGCATGCAAGCATTCATGCGCACACAAGCATTCATACGCACAAGCATTCACAGGTACACAAGCATTCACACGTACGCAAGCATTCACACGCACGCAGGCATTCACACGCACGCAGGCACGCAGGCATTCACACGCACGCAGCGCACATACGCAGGCACATACAACGCGCATTCACACGCAGCATTCATACGCACACAAGCGCATGCAAGCATTCATACGCACACGCATTCATACGTGCACACAAGCGCATGCAAGCATTCATGTGCACACAAGGATTCATATGCACAAGTGCATTCAAGCATTCATATGCATTTATATGCACATGCAAGCAAGCAAGCAAGCTAGGACATGCACGCACGCACACATCCAAACATGGAAACGTAGACATGGCCAGGTCTAGGGGAGCGATACCAGGGCATACCCAGCCCCAAATATTAACGGTTTATAACCATTAGTGTTAAAGATTCGTTATTAATCTTTAGTTCTTTTGACAATTACATTCCCAAGGTTATTTTTCAGTGTGGCTTTACCGTATTTTTTTTTTTTTTTTTTTTTTTTTTTTTTTTTTTTTTATCATATCTATTAATGGCATTATTAGTATTAATGTTAATTGATAGTGTTAATGATCTGAATTACTTATTTAGTTGTCCGTTATTTTGTTATTTTGATATTTATTTTTTTATTATCCTTTTTATTATTGTTATTTTTCGTTATTATTTTATTGTTTTAATATTTTTTGTTTATTTTATTACTCTTACTATTATTTTTTGTTATTTTTATTGTTTATTTTTATTATTATTTGTTATTATTTTTGATACTGATATTTGTAATACTACTAAAGTATTATTCTAATGGTTGTTGTTGTTGTTGTTAATAACAATAATAATAATAATATATTTTTATTTTGTTTTTATAATTTTTTATTATTTTTATATTTATTATTGTTGTTGATAACTTTTTTATCTATTATTATATATGTGATTATTTTTACTTGTTTATTGTTATCATAATTTAGTAATTTAATTTTATTTTATTTATTATTTTTATTTTTTATATTTCTGTAATTATATATATTTTTATTATCAATTTTCTTTTTTTTTACTTTTTATGGTTTTATTGGTTTTAATTATTTTTATTATATTTAAAATTTTTGGTTTTTATTTTTTTATTTCCATTATTAGTATTTTTTGAATTTTCATTATTATTATCTTAATCTTTATCTTTGTTTTTATTTTATCATTATATTTTTTATAATTGTATTTTATCATTAAATTTATTAATTTTATCTTTTATTTTATTTTTTACACTTATTTTTGGTTTAATTGTTGTTGTTGCCTTTATTTGTTATATTTTATGATTTTTTATTTTTATTTTTTTTATTATTTTATTCATATTGTTATCACTATTGTTTTATTTTTCTATTTTATTACTACTATTTTTATTATTGTGGTTATTAGTCATTCTTATTGATAAAGGTAATGGTGTAGATGACGATAATTATATTTTGAGTCTAAATATCATAAATTATTTTGTCATCTTTATCATTATTTATACTATTATTATTGATTTTTTTATAGTGCTATTATTATTATTTATATTATTAGTCTTGTTTATATTTACATTTATATATAAATTATATTATAATTGTTTATGCTGTTGTATATACTGTTCAATGATTTTATTATTATTATTATTATTATTTTTGGACTAAATATTTTTCAAATTATTATACTTTAAATCATTTTTAGAGGATGATAGTAATACTAGTAACAATAAGGATGATGACTAATAATAAATTATTATTAATTAATATTATTTATTAATTATTATTAATTA